AAAACCTATAATATATACTACCTGCAATGGGCTTCACCCATTTAATATAATGTTTGAAAGCAATGTTTTAAAAAAGCATAGAAAGATGCGTCATACTACTTTGTCGTACCTTAAAGTCTTTCATGGATGAAACTAAGATGGAAGCAAAAATGATGCGACTAAATTTAGTCTTCATGATATTAAACTTAAATGTAATATTTGAGGAAAATCGGTTATCGGTTAACCAAAAATTTAAGGTTATCTGTTAGGTGGCTCACAGTATACTCAAATTAAGACATCTATAATTAAGCTTTGAGTCGAAACGAAAATTAATATTTAATAAGGATCCTTTTATGATCCTTGATGTGGGGACGTTACAGTTAATAAAACGGTAAACGTCTTGAATTTGCCTCAATATGTATTTGGTAAATTATGTAAATGATTTACTTTAAATTAGTAAATTACGACATGAATATTAATTTGTTAATGGAAAATTCAAATAACTCTTTTAAATAATCTTAAACTTATGAATTGGTAGAATTTCAATAAGAATGAAATGAATCCTGAAATCTTATGATGTTTATTTTCCGACTATGTCTAGAAAACAAAAACGTTGTACTCGTTATTGAAAAATCTATTTCTCTTAACTGAATGAAGAAAATCAAGTTATTCAGACCCTCAAAATGAGTCCAGCAATAAGCTGACTATTCTAAGACGAATCCAGTTTAATTAAAAAAAGTGTGAAGATTTTGTTAATATGTTGTCCAGTTTCAGCAAATGTGAATGTCTTGTTTCGCATACCAGCGATATATCCATTTATAAGTTCATACTTTACTAGGCTGCCTTTGTTCTAATTAAATATTTCGACTGCAAATTTAGTTGAACTTATTTACGCTAGACATTCTGAAAACACAGTTTTAATTTTTATATGAAATCGTACACGCTTGCTTATTCCACTTGTAGTATAAGTTTAGCACGAATTGTTCAGTAAAAGTATATTCAACACATTTGAAATTACATAGACTGATTTCTAATAGAAAAGTATTTTTTAGCTGTTTGCATTACAGTCTACATCCTAAAAAGTGTATTGTTTTTGAAGACCTCGTACCACTTGGATATGCCGTACAACGTGATCGGGACCTCGAAATGGACGAAATAAAAGAAGTTATGCGAAAATTGGCAGTTTTTCATGCGATAAGTTACTACTTAAATAAAAAGGTTCGTTAAAAATATTGAAACAAATTCATCTCATATACATATTTTTTTTCAGGAACCAAAATTATTTGACAATATTCAACATGGCGTCATGAATGAACCATCAATACGAGATAATAGCTTCGTGACAGACGGTATAGAAATATTCATAGAAATTCTAAATGAAGTACCAACTCTGCGTATATATAAAAAATATTTTGAAGTACTTCAAAAAGACATTTTTGAAAAATGTCGGCAAACATTTGATGAGTTTCGTGAAAACCCACAGAGTGATGGAATATATGTACTTTGTCATGGTGACTTTCATTTTAAAAATCTAATGCTTAAGAACAACCCCATAAACGAACAAGTTGAAGACATTCTCTTACTCGACTTTCAGTTTTGTTATATTGGGCCAATTGTAAATGATTTATATAATGCGTTCTTTATGATGATCTCCAGAGAGCAACGTTTGCACCATTTCGATGAATTACTCTATCTGTACTACAGTCATTTTAAGTTAACACTAAATAAAACAGATTTTGATGGTGTTGTGCCTAAATTAAGCGAAATCAGAGCAATGTTTTTGAAACACAAACATTTTGGTATATTGATCTCTTACAAACCTGCTTAACCATCTCATGAGTTTACTTTATTTCAGAATTGTTTATGCTGTCCAGCCTTTTAGCGATGCGTTACGAATTCCTTAAAAAAGATATCGACTTAGAAAAAATGATCATGTCAAAGGAGCACCGCAAGACCCAGTTTATGAATAAAGAATTTTTGGATGAGCTTCATCAATTATTACCAAAATATTTATATAGTGGATATTTTGAGGATTTGTTATAAATTTAATACAGAAAAGCTAATAATTTTTTTTGAAATAACTAATTAAGCTATTAGTATTTATTAGCTATTGCATATAAATGATATGCTATTTAATAAAAATATTTAGGAAAGAAGTAATATTGTGTAAATATTTATAGAAACCGAGTTAAAATTGCTTACTAGCTGTTAATCTGTGTGTATATTGGATACCAATAATTTTATTTGGAAGTTTGATTCGGAATATAGAGTTGATTTTTTTAGTAGTAACTTTTGCTATTTTTTAGTAGTAACTTTTACTATTTTGAAAATCTTTGTTAAGGTATTTTTAAGACAATTCTACACTCCAAAAAGAAGTTTTAAACGTAAATTGATTTATTTATTTAGTTATTATATTATTGATTCTTAATCAAATTGTTTATGTGATATTCATTTGATGACAATATTCCGCAGATTGAACATACTCACAAGTTTTATGAACAGAAACAAATAAAAAGTCGTTTAGACTATTCATCTGTAAACGATTTGCCAGTGGATTCCCAATGGATTTTGTCTTTACTAACAAAAAAATATTGTTTGAGACTGGATTCCCACGAGAATTTTGATTGTCATTTTAGTTGTCAATAATTTTGAACTGGCATTTGAAATCAAAAAGCAAAAATATCGATATACACGACGTATCATTGTAATTTGATTGTAAGATTTGTCATATGTTAACACTTTTTAACTACTTTAACTAAATATTTACTTTCTACATTTGATATATACATATCATATATATCAGTTTTGTATGAAAATATCATTCATTCCACAAGACTATTCACAATAGGCTAGTTTCTACTGCACATTACTGTACTACGGTGAACTGTCCAAGTTCATGATCAACTTGATTTTTTAGAAATTACGACTTAATTGCATTTTGTTTTCGTATTGATATTTGTTTTACTATTGAAATCAAGAATGATTGCAAATAAAAGCTAAAATTACAATGGAAACTCTGGTATGAATCTAGTACTAAACTGATTAGTACTATGAATTGCTTACTATATTATATTGCTTGTTTCTAGTGTAAAGAAAAAACTTGCAGTTATTTATTTGATGAAGTGTGGTCTTCAACCTCGCATCACACAATGGCTATATATAGCTGTTATTAGGCCCATATTGCTGTATGGTATTACGGTATGGTGGACAGCTCTTGATAAATCTTCGTACTGTTCGGTACTTAACAAGATTCAGCGTAGAGCTGAACTCTGTATTAGCGGGGCGCTATGCACCACACCATCTATTGCACTAGACTTGATGCTTCAGTTACTGCCAATGGATATTATTAGTAAACAAATGGCAGCTTCATCTGCTTTAAGACTAAAAGCTACTTCATTAAAAGCTGCTACAAGTTTTGGTGGACAGTCGAATCCCACCAAAAACTTCGGTTACATTGTACTAACATATAACATATGTCGTTCAAAACGGGAAGCATTGTGACTAACGCAAGTTAGAATAATTAAATTAACACCGGTGGTCCTTGCCTATTATAAGATAACAATTATAAACTTAATCTTTGAAAAATAATAAACTGGATTCTTGTATATACCATGAAATATACATCTAACACTTAATGCTCTTACTGAATAATCTCCATAATCGAAGAGAAAGTAGTTCTGTCTTCTAAAATTATTAACTTTGAGAAAAGTCGTTTCTGCAATTTATTAAATATGATAATAAAATACATTATATCTACAGTCTGAAATCTATAATCATATCACTAAATACTGTGCATTCTATAGTTTTTGAATAAATATGTAATTGTCAGAGTGTTATATATATAAAACATTAAAAATTGTGCTCCTTGTACCACGAATTTATGTACTGCCTCTGCACGTAAGTGTGGAATAATTTCGAGAAGTGTTAATAACTTGTTACAAAAGTTGGACTTATACATCCAAAGTAAACTAAATATATAAACTAAACCATAAGTTTTTTCATTTTATATTTTAAAAAGCTCTCATATAAATTGGCGATAAAGGAATATATATTTCTCTTACTAAATACTTTTATTTTTTATTATATTTATTTATAATTTGAAGATAAGATAACTTTTATCTTATCTTTAATAATTGAATTTAGATAACTAAATCTAATATGGAAGGAAATAATCGTGGTAAGAATGAGGTCAATCGGTAAAGATGAAGATATAGTTTTCTCACAAACTGATACTTTAGATTCATCTTATTCAGCAGCTCTTATCAGTATTTTTATTAATTAAATGATATATATGTTACAATGATATATACATACGACTATGTATTAATATATTAATAAATAAAACCCCAATATAGATTTAAAATTCTATGTAGATGGCTATCGCAAAACCAAACTTAACAACTTTAGTTGCTTAAAAGGTGTTTCAATAAAAATCAGATAAAGTATTCGTATCAAAAATAAAATTTTTACTATATTTATCTGAATAGAACATTTAAGGATTTTATCAAATATATTCATTTGAGCACAACTGAGCATATTTTGTTATGGAGTGATAATTTTTGTTTTTTATTTTTATTTTTTTTAATTTCAATTATCGTCAGCTGTTTGCTTATCAACAAGTATATATATCTGATATTGTAAAAGTATATGTTATATTAACTAAATATTCATTATATCAATTCCGCGCTTATGAATGAGAAGTGTGACGAATTTTTAAATCAAATAATTTTACTTGTCATTTTAAAACAACAAGTTTAATAACTGTTTCAGATAGTTTTGTGATATTAGCTTGTGCCAGTGCTCAATTGCGAGTACTAGTTAAAAAAAATCGCACTATCAATCGATTATCTTTGGTAAATTCCAACTTATTCAGATAAGAAAGGAATATAAAATATCAAACATTTACTTAAAATTTACTAGTATTTCAGCGTTACTCGGTCAAGCAGTAACTTATTATTACATATATTAATTTCGCGGTGTTCTTGAGATTGTCGTTTAAACACAAAAGTTTAGTCCTCATAATGCCAGCAGCAGATAATTTTAACGACGATGAACTCGTTGCGCCGAAATGGTTAAATAACGATTTTCTAAAAGAAGTAATACAGAGTTATGAAAAAAATAAAGACGTGAAGGTAACCAATTTTAAACTTACTCCAGGCACTGTAAAAGGCGACCACTTTGCCAGTGTCATGTTCAGAGCTCATGTGGATTATAAGCTTAGACATTCACGATATTCAAAATCAGTAATTATCAAAACAATGCCTGAAGTTCAGGGGCTTAAAAAGGAAATGCTGGAGAATTCACATATCTTTGAAACTGAAATAAAAATGTACACAGAAATCTTACCAAAATTGGAGAGTGTTCTACGTTCCATTGGAGATGATACAAAAATTGGACCTAAGTAAGTTTAAGTAAAATATTTCCGATCAATTTTTTGAGTTTTTAAGAAAAGTACATATACTAAATTTGGTTCTAACGTCGGTTATGACGACAGTGACTGTTTTACTTAATAAAAATTGTATTACATAGAGATGTGTCGAACAGTAGTAAATTGCAACAACAAAAATTCTAATTTATTTTTAATTAATTGAGTTTTGAAAAATAAATATGTAATGACAACAAACCAGTGATGTGTCGTAATATCTTAATGCAAATTGTTTATCTAAACTTAATATCCGATTTGGTTTAATTGGTTTTATTTTTGTTTATAACTTAAATAAACTTTACTTTGATAATAATCTGCTGTCTAATATTAAATAACCAGTTGTGAATTCTTTTTTGAACTATAAAACTAACGTATATTTTATGATCAGGAAAATAATTCACACTAACATAGAGAATAAAAAAAAACTACCGATTTGCATGTTTTGGAAAATTGTGAATTGGGGATTGACTAATATTAGATAAAGGTTTTTTATAAACATCAAGACAGTTGTATAAGAATAATTTTTAAATTATTTCATTAGCTAACCATATTGGTAAAATAAATTCCGGAATCCGTATAATGTATGTACATTTTCTTTCAAACACTTTGGTTAACATTCCATTACTACATTTCATCAATTATAAAATCAATAACGTGAAATGTATTTACATTTCTGTTTTTCTGAATTTTTGAAGGAACTCGATTAAGGTCTACTAAAAACATCAAATCGATTTTTTCCACTAACACATACAGGTCCTATACTGGTTTCTAATGTAAAACTTTTTTTTTAGCTGTTTGTATTATAGTCTACAACCTAGAAAATGCATTGTTTTGGAAGATCTGGTGCCACTTGGATACACCGTACAAAGAGATCGTGACCTCAAAATGGACGAAATAAAAGAAGTCATGCGGAAATTGGCAGTTTTCCATGCAATTAGTTACTATTTAAATAAAAAGGTTTGTACATAATGTGGTATTAAAAATATAGAGTTCATAAACACATTTTTTTTAGGAACCACAAATCTTTGACACCCTACAATACGGTTTTATGAATGATCCTTCAATCGCTGAAAACAGCTTCTTGACGGATGGAATAAAAATTTTCATAGAAGTACTGAATGAAGTGCCAACTCTGCGCAAATATAAGCCATATTTTCAAGTTTTTCAAAAAGAGGTCTTTCAAAAATGTGGTCAATCATTTAATGAGTTTCGAGAAAATCCACAGAGTAACGGAATATATGGACTTTGTCATGGAGACTTTCATTTTAAAAACTTAATGTTCAGGAATAACCCCATTAACAAAAAACTTGAGGACATACTCTTTCTAGATTTTCAGATTTCTTATCTTGGACCAATAGTAAATGATTTGTATTATTCTTTATTTATGATGTGCTCTAGAG